AAAGTTTACTTGTTAATGCTTTCAATCGCTTCACGTACAACTCTTGAGTAAAAGTGACGTTCGGTGGAGAGGACTTGCGTGCGGACAACCACTGTGAAGACACCAAATTCTTTCATTTGAACTTGGGTATGCAGTACTTAGGCAAACATTATAAGTGTTTGATGCTTTACCTTTTTCCTTTTGAATTATGTTCTTCTTATTGCCCCAACACATCTCAGTAGAGTGACCTTTCTTTTTGCAATTGTTACAATACAATTTTTGTTTATTTTTCTTTGAATAGTATGCTTCCTTCTCAGGTTTATCATTACTATTTCGAGCTTGACATTCCTCAAGAATTTTGACTTTTAAGTCTTCTGGATTTGGCAATGTATCTCTGGACTCAATAGCTATCCTAAAATTCTCTAATGTAGTCGGCAAACTGTACAGTAACATAACACTGAGTAATTCCGGTGGTATTTTTATATCCATGTCGGCAAGCTTGTCAACTATGTCCATTAAATTATTTATATGATCATGGATGTCTTCACTAGCATTCATGCGTTTTAAGACAAGTTGTTTTAATAGAGTAGCTTTTCTAGCAGGCCCAACACTTTGGTAAGTTGCTTTCAGTTTATCCCAAACAGCTTTTGCGGTGGAGCAGGCTTTTATTTGTTTTAACTCCGATGGTGACAGTAAAAGCAAAATGTTCGCTCTTGCTTCTAGATCGTCTTTTTGAAAAACAAGTTTTTCTTCTGGAGTTGGATTTGGCAATAATTTTCTTTCGCCGCTGACGATGTCCCAATAGTCATTTTTGATCAGGACCGCCTGTGCTTGCATACACCAGGTATCGTAATTTACCTTGTTCAGGAGTTGAATATTTCGATAACTCGATATATTCATTTTGGACTTACCCACGGGTTATACTTACGCATAACCACGCTCTGCTACCAATTTGTGGGGGATCAGTGCAAGTAAAACCCAATAAACAATGATATCGAAACACATTTTATATGGATATTTTATTTTAACACCTATGACATGTACAATTCAATAGTCAGTTGTTTTTACTTTATGACACATATATATATAGCTTGTAGACAGGCATAGATAGTGGCTACGGAGGAGTGCAACTCCTTACGTTATCATAAACAGCTCCCACATTTTGTAGCCGAAGTTGACTTCAATATTATTTTTCAACAGTATTTTTCTTACATACTCAAAGTTTTGGCGTGCTAATCTTTCGTGCCACTCTTGCAGTGTAGATTTAACTTTCTTAGCCACATTCGCCGCTTTATTTTTATAGCGTTACTCCAAGTAATATGAGCTTCCAACTCGATTTGCAATTGCACAGATTTTATTGTTTTTGTCATGGACGTATTAAAAAGTCGGACAGAGTCTCGCTAACAAACAATTGTGGATTCATAATCGGCCAGCTCAGCTGTATGTACAGGTCAGTACCTACGCACACTTTCACACATTAGTCGGCCATTACGCGCGCGAACATCGCGTCATCGAGACACATTACGCGGCGAAAAAATATAAATATACATAATGTCTTGCGTGGTAAAATGGTGTAAAAACCGTAGTGATCGAAAGAAAAACAATGTAGGAATCACGTTTCATAGGTAAATGAATAATTCAATCACTTATTTCCAGATTTTATACATTAAACTCAATTTGCATTCGCTAGAACAAAACAATTCATTGTAAGTTCAGTGTTGCCAATATTCACGTGTGCAAATTATCCGAAATATGGGCAATTTTTAGTTTATTATTAAAATCAATATATTAAGGTTAATTATTTAATAGTTACTACTGGGTATTTTATTTTATATTCCTATTGCTACATTTTCTAAGGAAAATGAAGTATGGAGAAATGATTGGATTCAAATAATTAGAAATTGTAATGGTGAAAACGATTGGATTCCAAACAAATACAGTGTAATTTGCAGTATACATTTTTATGCGAATGACTTATATACAACTAAAGGAGGACTCCGGCGTGTTGTTACTTATGCAGTACCTCAAAAGGTAAATTAGCAATCTAACAAGACATAGTTTTTATAAAAAAAAATTGAAACTCTTTCCGCTTACTTTTTCAAAATTTAAATGTACATAACTATTGTGTCGGTACATTAAAAAAAGTGTGTGTACTTATTTACACGCGTTAGAAGTTATACTTCTTTAAGGTATTTAATACACTGAAAGTTTTATTATAGCGCATTATCTAGTTAAATAAAGTTTATTTAAATATCACAAATAAATATCGTGAATACAGTTATCAGTTCTCACCTATAGCTAACTTCATGGATACAGTTGTCAGTTCTCATCTATAGCTAACTTCATGGTGTCCGTTTTTCGTGACGGTTTGCGCGCGCATCGTAAAAATTTACTCTCATCATTTTTCCGTAACGCGCCAAAAGAAGTATAACTTCAAAAATTCATACATATTTTAATCCCCAGTACGTTATTTGTTTTTAGTATTTGTTTGAGTCAGGACACATGGCAGAGGAACAACCTGTTGCTGTACCCAATATTGCCAGTGCTTTTCAAGAGGTGCGCAATAAATTAAATTATAACTATTTTAAATGAAATTAGTTTCACTTTCAAAGTATTTTATATTTGATAATGATAAACTTTGTACAGTAATCCCTGATAAATGTATATTTTTGTACTACATATTTTTAGAGCGCATCAGTGATTGTGCCAGCACTTGAGAAGCCTTGTACTTTCCAACACTTGTACTTTCTTTTACAATCTGCTGAACCAAATATTTCCAGTAATTTAAAAAAGGTGCGTTTTGAAATAAATATTATTTTTCAAAATAAGTTACACTTGTACATTTCATTAAGGTACAAAATAGTAAATGTATTCTTTTTTAATATTAATTCTTTTAAAATAAAAATAAAAAATATTCTCTTAGAGTATATCAGTGATTGGGACAAAAGCACTTGAACAGCCTCATACCTCAATTTCGATTTACCAGAGAAACAACCTGCCAACAAAATACTGCCATTAATATTCAAGAGATGGGTAATGAAATTAGTTTTTTATAGTTATTTGTAAGAAAAAATATAAAAAATTTTGAACCCAATGTTCCCTAATTGTATAAATTTTTCTTTATTAGAAATATTCTGAAACTGGAGATGGAAAAGTAATACTTTACACTCCAAAGAAATAGCGTTTGAAACAAAGTCTCATCGAGAAACAAGACACTATTAAAAAACAAACAAGGCAAATAAGAACATTACAGCAAAAAGTTAAACGACTTCAAAATAGGAATAAATCCTTAAAAGAGATCTTAAAATCCCTTAAAGATAACAATTATGTTGATAATGAAACATTCAACAGAATAAAGGAAAATATGGTTACTGTAGACTTGTTTAATAATCTGAATAGAAAAAAACTAAAAAAGACTATTAAATATACCCCCGCTATCAAAAAGTTTTGTCTGACACTGAATTATTATGCTCCAAAAGCGTATGACTACGTGAGACAAACTTTTAATACATGTCTTCCCCGTCCTAAGACTCTATCTAAGTGGTATGGCCATATAAAAGGAGATCCAGGGTTTACTGAGGAATCATTTCAGGCGTTAAAAGCCAAGGCACAACTGAGCCATCATCGGCTTATATGCTCTTTGAAATTCGATGAGGTTGCTATTAGGCGCCAGAAGATATGGGATGGCAAGAAATATATAGGCTTAGAAGACATGGGAGCAGGGGCTGAAGAAGGTGCTGGTTTAGCTTCCCAAGCTTTAGTTTTTCTTATTGTTGGCATAAACCACCGCTTCAAACTCCCTTTGGGATACTGTTTAATCAACTCGTTAACAGGGGAACAGAAAGCAAATTTGATCAAAATTTGTCTCACCAAGTGTTCAGAATCTGACATTGACGTGGTTTCTATGACATGCGATGGCCACACAGCGATTTTGCTACATTAGAACCACTTGGTTGCAATCTACAGCCGGAGGCGTTAAAAACCACATTCACACACCCGTCTAGTGGTTCTGAGGTAGCCTGCTTTCTGGACCCTAGTCACGTTGTAAAGTTACTCAGAAACCAATTCCAAGCAAAAAGAGAATTCCTTGACAAAGATAAGAACATTATAAAATGGAATACATTAGAAGCACTCAATAAACTTCAGCAGGAAGAAGGTTTGCATTTAGCCAATAAATTGTCAACTAAACATATTAATTTTAAAAATAATATAATGAAAGTCAAGCTAGCCACCCAGGTTTTCAGTACAAGCGTTGCCACTGCTATAAATCTTGTATATATATAAATGCATCTCTGCTGCCTGCAGAGATGACCGAAAACTAGACTCGTTTCAAGACTCAGAGGCAACGGAAACTTTTATCACACACATAAATTGACATGTTTGACATTTTTAACACACGAGCGATGACCCAATTCGACTTCCGAAAACCGTTATGTGTTGAAAACAAAGACCTAATATTTAACTTTTTAGATGAATTAAAAGAATATATTTTGAAATTGCAAAATAAATATGTATCGAAAAGAAAAGTCAAAACAGATGGAAGAGCTACATTTGTTATTACTAAATACTACAACCACGTTATAAAGGCTGAATGTAAAACAGGGTTTCTTGGGACATTGTTGAACATAAATAGTTTGAAATATTTATATGTAAAACTCATTCAAAGTGAAAAACAATTACTGTTTCTGCCTACATAGAAATTGAGCCAAGACCATCTAGAGATGTTTTTTTCGTGCATACGAATGCAGGGTGGATTTAACGACAATCCTAATGTAAGACAATTTAAAGGATGTTACCGAAAACTTCTAACTCATCTTGAACTAAGATGCATCACAACTGGCAATTGTGTTCCCTTAGAACAAATAGCAATACTAAATTGTACCTCGGCCACACAAATTATAAACACAACAACGCCAGCATACAGACATGAAGAAGAAGATAAAAGTTTCGACTCCTCTTTAGGCTTTCTAAAAGAAATCACCAAAGAAGATAGCAATTTAGCGAAACGACTAAACAGTGAGGAGTTTAACGATTACCGAAAATTGATAATCAGTTATCTAGCAGGTAGTATTTGCCATTATGCAAACAAACATATCAAGCGTGGAAGTTGCACTGCACGGATGTCTACTGAAGAAAAATTATATTTTCATAAGTTAATATACTTAAAAACCAGAGGAAAGCCTTACATTTACCCTCGAAAGAAATGTTCTTTATTTGTTGTATTTGCGAAATGGTTATAAGAAAAATTATAAAAGAAAGCATCACATTATACAACGAAAGGCAACATAAATATATTATCACAAAAATTCTAAAAAAATTTGTTGGTAAATAAAACCGTTTTTTTTTTAACTTAGAATCCGAACATAATTTTGCCGGAATAGAACACAAAATAAGTCTTATTAAATATATAGCGGAAAAATATTTAACGATTAGGTTTCAACACATCTCGAAATTAGAGGAAATTTCAAGAACCTCTCAAAGTAAAAGACATTATTATAAAAAAATTACTCAGCATTTGGGATATTAAACATTACAATTTCGATCAATTTTTTTTTTATATGTTGACCGTGTTTTTATGGCAAAATTTTGGGTAACTTGGCAACCCTAAAATGAATTCGCACACAAAGAGTTGCCGCCATTATGGCGTTTCACTTTTGTCTTAGCGAGAGTTCCGTCCGACTTTTTTATACGTCCATGGTTTTTGTAGAATTTACACGAGTGTTCATCTGTCAACATGACATAACCTTTGTCCGACGCACAGTTTACAGAGAATAAATTTGTTTTTAATTCCGGAACAAACAGCACTTTGTCTATGGTTTTGTAAACCCATTCACTTCCGTCATAAACCTCTACCGCCATATGTCCATAACCGAGACCACTAATCGCCGCATCATTACCATCAATAACAGATTCTTGTTCGGTGCTGGTAAATGATGTAAATAGTTCACGATCACGGCTCATGTGTTCACTGACACCTGTGTCCCCTAACCACTGATATTGACCAAGTTCTTTCAATGAATTTGACACCACAAATCTATTACTTTTCTTCTGTTCTTTATTCTTCTTAAACCAACACTGCGATTTGTTATGTCCAGTCTTTTAACAATAAAAGCACTTATTATTCTGTCCTTCACTTTTGCATTTATTGTTGTTATTACTTTTACATTCACTTTGGAAATGTCCCATCTTGTTACATTTAAAGCACTTTATATTCTTTTTATCCTTAACAAGGAAAGCCGACGAGCCTGAAGATGAAGACTGTCCACTTTTCTCTTTAACCCTTTCTTCTTCGACTAGTAATCTTGCAACTAAATTATCCATAGTTTGTCTATCGTCTGGGGCTGATTCCCAAGCAGATACAAAATGTTTAAATTCTTCCGGTAATGACATTAACACCTTAGTTATTACAAATTTGTCTGAAACATCTTCTCCCATCTGTTTAAGTTGATTTTGTAATTCCTGGATCTTAGATAGCAATGTAGACATTTCAATGTCTGCTTCAAATTTATATTGAAAGAAGCGCTGCTGAATCATATGAATATTTGTTTCTGTTTTCTGCTCATAAACACTCTGTAGCTTTTTCCACATTTCAGCTGAAGTAGAACACGAAATAATATGTAACATTACTTTTTCAGTCATTCTCGTCACTAAAAGTGTTTGTGCCTTCGCATCTTTAGTCTCCCAAGCGGTTCGTTCCGTGGGATCTTTGGGTGTCAGAACTTTTCCTTCGACAACATCTAGCCAACCTTGACCTCGTAGCAAAACTGTAGTTTGAAATTTCCAGATGTTCCAGTTGTTAGTTCCTTCCAGCTTCAACAAGCTGTTATTATTTAAGTTTACGTCCATCTTGAACAATTCCATGCACGCTCTTTAACCTTAGTTTAACAAGCCGCAAATGTTTTCACAACTGTGACTGGAATGAACTGAAATGTGACTGGGCCCATAACCTGATGAGATACTTAAATAAATAATGCAGTTTTCAAATTGTACTTTTCAAACTGTAATTTTACACACGCACAAGACAGTAGTAGCGTATCCATAATGCAGTTTTCAAATTGTACTTTTCAAACTGTAATTTTACACACGCACAAGACAGTAGTAGCGTATCCGCCATGACACATGGAGTAGAGAAAAAAAAATCTACCATTGTTGCCAACTTAAAAATAAATGTAACAGTGTAATTACATTGCAGTATTTCCAACAATTTTATATTCCAATGTCTACGAACTGATGAAGGGCAATGTGTGCAACATACAAAAATGATAACTTGCATGTATGGCAAATGTTTACAGTGCAAATGTAAAAAAATAATTATAATATAGAAGACCCAGAGATGACAATAGAATGGAAAATGTGGGAGACAGTTCAGCATACTTACAAAAAGAAGACAGCTAATGACAAAAATATATCTATGTTAACCAAAAAGAACTACAAAAACTAATAAAACTGGAACTGTTCAACTTTTAGTTGACGCTTTGGAAGCAGATATATTTCTAAATTTAAAACACATGTCTTTGATTTTTTGCATCAAAATGATGAATAAAAAATTGCAAAGAACATTTAGATGAAAATGAAGCTGCCATATATTGCGACTTTTCGGAAAACTCGATGCATTTTGGCGCCTCCAAAATACAAGTAATATTGCATACCGATGGCATATATTGCAAAGAGACAAAGCAATCATTTTGTGCAATTTCACCAAGCAATGTTCATCAACCAGAAGCTATATGGGCTCATTTAATACCAATACTCGAAGTAACCATAACACTTATACCTAACCTTAAAAAACTATATATTTTTTCTGATGGACCAAGTTCTCAATATAAGCAAAAAAAGAACTTTTACCTTATCAAATATTATGCCGTTTTATACAATATTGATATATCATGGTCCTTTTTTGAAAGCGGTCACGGAAAAGGCGTGGCCGATGCCATAGGCGGTGTTGTCAAAAGAGCCTTAGACCGCGAAGTATCCTAAGGTAAAGATATTCAAAATGCCTCCGTCGTCTACTCGTCTTTAGAACAGACTGTACCTTCAGTAAAATGTATTTACATCAGTGAAAATGAAATTGATGAAGTTCGCAAATTAATACCAACTTCTCTGAAAGCTGTGCCAGGTACTATGAGTATCCATGGGGTTATAGCCATGAAAAGTAATGATAAATTAATTTATCATCGTCCATTAACTTGCTTTTGTAATGGTTTTATCTGCAATTGTTTTGATGTGAAAACGCACCAGTTCGAAACAATTTTTACTGAGATGCCAACGGATCCTTCAACGCCTGCTAACACCGATCTTTCATGTTGCGATGATTTCCTGTTAAGGATTTATTATTAGATGAAAATGTAGCTTTAAATAAAGAAATCGAGTGCGTATCTATCGATGACAATTTTAACAGTCAAGTTATAGATATGGAACAACATATTGAGGATAATGTAGGCACAAAAATAACTGATGTTAATGAAAAGATTGACAGCGTACTTACTAACGAAAATATTAATAGTCAAGTTATAGACATAGAACATAATCCCGAACCTAATGCAACCACAGAAATAACTTTTTTTGATGAAGACATTGAATCGATTAAGGAAAATATTAACAGTCAAATTTTAGGTATAAAACAAGACACTGAACCAAATTTCATTACAAATAGTGTAGGTATATCTGAAATTATACATAATGACAAAAAAAATTACATAATGTGCAGCTTCATTTAGGAGGGTCAAATCCTTCAACTTCACAAATAACTGACAAATCATTACGTATTATTGCAAACAAAATCTTTACGGACCGTAGTAAAACGTCTAGTTCCTTGAACACGATGCAAGACGGGTATGAGCATGTATGAACTATAGGTCTACCGGAATCTCATGGCAAATGGAGAAATAAAAATTTGTTGCGTGCAATACTGGGGAAATTGGGTTAAACGATCTTCATACTATT